TGTGATAGGACCTGAAATAAGATGAATGTGATTTTTTAAAAAGATTTATTGTATTTAAAAATCTTTCTTTCCCTCGGTGCTACACCAATGTCTRCCCTCGGTCGTACTCCGATGTCTACCCTCGGTGCTACTCCGATGTCTACCCTCAGAAACACTGGCATAAAGAACTTTTCAAATGAAATACTCTGTAGACACCAYGATGTGTAAAAATAAAGAATTAAGCAGAACTATTTATATATAATAGAAAGAATGAGGGAAAGTCGGGAAGAGAARGCGAGAAAAATGGAGGGAAAAGGAAGCCAACAGMACCAGAGAGGAACACAATCGTCATTCCATGYCTCCCTGTGGAGGAAAATGGTTCTGGAAAACCATTTTGTGTGGGGAAACCTCCGTGGGTGAGAAATCCACCAGCTGCTGAGAAAGTCCCTGGGGACAGATGCTGCCCTAGAGAGGTTGTGACTGCGGAAGCAAGTGGACATGGCCAGGGGATTATTTCATCTTTGGCAAGTGAGTTAGTGCTGGGTCTGTCATTTCCCCTCTTCCAGAGCTCCTGAACCATGCTGGGCTTGGGCAGAGGCAAGCTCCTACTAACACCACTTTCTTGGATACGTTCATGTGCAAAGTTTGGGACCGGCTTTGGAGACTGACAGCCTGCCCTAGGTGRGTAGTTCTGCCTGGGAGGGCTCAAGGGGCTGAATGTCCGTAGGGAAACAGTTTCTCAGGGAACAGTGTGAGTGCAAATTCACATCAAGTTCTTTCTCTCTGGAAATCAAGGGACAGAGCACATGTGTGGGAATGCAGGTCAGGATGCAATGACTTTAATACAGAAGARATGCCAAAAGAATGGAAAGAAGGACTAGGAAAGATACCCCAGGAAGGAAAACCGAAATAAGGGAGCAAGTTGAGCAATACAGCACTCATATTTCCTGGACAAGCTCCGAAGGTGTGGGATAGAGGAGTGGATGGGGAGGTGGATTAGGAATTGGCTCAGTGGCAGGGTGCAGAGAAAGGTAGTCGGTGGCGTGGAGTCCAGCTGGAGGCCTGTAGTTAGCGGTGTCCCCCAGGTGTCAGTCCTCAGTCCGGTCCTGTTCAACTTATTCATTAACGACCTGGATGAAGGGCTGGAGTGCTCCCTCAGCAAGTTTGCTGATGATACCAAACTGAGAGGAGTAGCTGATAGCCCTGAGGGCTGTGCTGCCATCCAGAGGGACCTGGACAGACTGGAGGACTGGGCAGCGAGAAACCTCATGAAATTCAATAGGGGCAAGTGCAGGGTCCTGCACTTGGGGAGGAATAACCCTGGACACCAGTACAGATTAGGGGTGGATCTGCTGGAGAGCAGCCCCGCAGAGAGGGACCTGGGTGTCATGGTGGATGACAAGATGACCATGAGGCAGCAGTGTGCCCTGGTGGCCAAGAAGGCCAACGGGATCCTGGGGTGCATTAAGAARAGCGTCTCCAGCAGGTCGAGGGAGGTGATCGTCCCCCTCTACACATCCCTGGTAAGGCCACATCTGGAGACTGTGTCCACTTCTGGGCTCCCCAGTACAAGAGGGATGTGGAGCTGCTGGAGAGAGTCCAGTGCAGGGCTACCAGGATGATCAGGGGCCTGGAACATCTGCCTTAGGAGCAAAGGCTGAGGGAGCTGGGGCTGTTCAGCCTGGAGAAGACAAGGCTGAGGGGGGTCCTAATCAGTGTCTAAAAATACCTCAAGGGAGGCAGTGAGGAGGAGGGGGCGGCCTCTTTTCAGTGGTGGCCAGCGACAGGACTGGAGGAAACGGCCACAAGCTGAGGCACCAAAAGTTCCACGGGAACTTAAGGAAAAACTACTTGACAGTGAGGGTGACAGAGCCCTGGAACAGGCGGCCCAGGGAGGTTGTGGAGTCTCCTTCTTTGGAGATCTTTAAAACCCGCTAGGATGCAGTCATGTGCCACGTGCTCTAGGTGACCCTGCATGAGCAGGGGAATTGGACTCGATGACCTCTGAGGTCCCTTCCAACCTTAAGCATTCTATGATTCTATGATTCTATGTTCATCTGCTGGCAGTCTCCACCATAGCCAGATTTTAGTTTGTTGTCTCTCATTACTTGCTTCCTCATCATGTCCCTTCAGGCCATTTCTTGAGAAGCTTCTGCTCAGTTGACAGGCCCTCTTGCTATTTTATTTTATTTTATTTTATTTTATTTTATTTTATTTTATTTTATTTTATTTTATTTTATTTTATTTTATTTTATTTTATTTTATTTTATTTNTATTTTATTTTATTTTATTTTATTTTATTTTATTTTATTTTATTTTATTTTATTTTATTTTATTTTATTTTATTTTATTTTATTTTATTTTATTTCTCCTCCCCCAGAAAGCTGAACACTCCAGATAACTGGATTTTGGAATTTAGGACTTCTAGACTTAATTGTGTAAAAGTGTTATTTTGCAGAATACAGCAACGTGCTAGCATTTATTTGGTTGCTCTTGGCAGTGTTACTGCATTGTAGTAATGATTGCCAGTCTGACTAGACTACAATCTGCATAACGAATGAGAGAAGAAAACCCACCAATATGTTCAAAGAGCAAGTCAAATAGATTATGACTATTTCCTAGAAGAAAATCAGATTAGCAACATGAAGAGCTAGAGTAYGAGATTTGGAGCAAAGTATATGACATAATTGTCATACCACACAATTTCTCAAAGAATAGCTCATTCTCTTATTTGAAAAACAGCAACCACACTGCTTGRTATTCCACATGTATTGGAAGGTTCATTCCTTTGCTACTTGTGTCTTGAAGATGCAAGGGCTTTTGTTCTGTAAACTGCAAGAAAATGAGGAATCAAGTTTTCAGCTACTGGAATTAAATTGTTGCTTAAAGTAAAATGAGCAGGCCACATCTCAGAGGCCCTTTCATCAAAGCAGGTCAGTTAACTTTAATGAAGTCATCTTTGATTTACTTTGATGCAACATCAGAGCCCAGCCCAGATGATTCGAAATGATCAGCAAATACATTTCCATACTGCAGTCTTTCAAGGACAGAGGCTTTATGGCATCTCTAGTTTTCTGGATTCTATAACTTCTTAAGTGCCTAATTTGACTCTCTTTTAAGGTTTTTARTCCTTTTTATTTATTTATTTTTAAAGGTTCCTCAGCCCTTGTGTGCTCGGGCAGACCGTTTGTAGGGTCTCACCTAACCTTAGTATAGGCTTTTCTCCTAAGCACCAACAGTAGCAAATGCTGACTTGACCCTTTCAGACCACTAACAAAGTACTGTTTCTCTACTCTGCCCTTCTGTAATTAAGCAGACAGTGATGCAGCTGGAGTAAATGATGATGGAATTTAACAGCGAGAGGTCAGAGAATTCCCTGCCCGAGGGAATAAWTTGTCACAGACCTTCCTGCACCTGAAGGCAGTCACACCACTGTCCTGCCTTGCGTGTCTGTTGCTACAAAATGCTGACAGTTTTTCTTCCTTTGTCTTAAGTTGTTTAGTTGAAATAGTGACGGTTTCCTCTTGAAAAACTTTTAATTTGAAAAATATTGAACTCTGTTTTGTTCTGTGTTGTAAGTGAAGTGGATGATATTCACTCTTTTCTGTATATTATCCTCCAAACAACTATAAACAACTTTCTAGCTTTTAATGACTTGCTGRTAGTCAGCCTTTTGGACACGAAAGCTTTAACATGATGAAGCCCTGGATGCCTGAGGAGCTTATTTATCAGACTTTAGTAGGTAAGATGCCTGTTGCCATGACAAATGCTTTTGGCAATGATATGGGTGGGGTCTTTTGGTCTGGTCTGTTTTAGTTACCTTTTTTATTATTATTTTTTTAAACTGACAGTAATATGTTTGGGKTTTTTTTTTCCCCCACTAATATATCAAATGCACCGTTGCCTACCTCATACCTCAGCATCAAGCAATGCAAGGCTAATCATTTTAATACCCACGTGTCCAAACTTCCTGATCCTCTAAGTTTTATACAGCAGGGTGTCTTAGAGATGCATAAGATATTTGTCARTGTTTTGAAGGACAAAAGAAATCTGGAATAATTGTAAATCTGGAAAATGAGACATGGTACCAGTGCTGTTGTAGGAACAGGGCAAGGTATGCAGTTGAGTCCATAAAGCTCCATCGTGTGTTGAGGTCAGATTTATCCGTAGTTCCCACCCCGGCAGCATTCTCTCTCTAGTCCTGCAGAAATATTCCCTGCRATCAAATGGGAACCACTCAGGGGCTGCAGGTGGTCTCAGGGCCATAGAGCAGCTGCCCCTCTCAGAGCTTATTCCAGACTTGAGGTTAAATTGGAGTTAAAATGACTGATCTTCGGATGGTAAAAATTCAGCGTGCCTTATTTAAAATTAATAGAGCTATATATTGGGCTATAATAGAGTATATATTGGGCTATAATGTCTAAGGGTCTCAACCCCTGTTCTTATTGGGGCAGGTTTTCCTGTTCCCSCTGTGTTCCTTTTCTGTCTCTCCTGAGTATTTGAACTTCTGCTCATTTTCCTGAACGGATCGAGGAGGTTCAGAGTTTGGTGATGGTATCTTTAATTTCAACATACTTAGCAGTAAGGATGAGTAGCCCACAGAACAGACCACTAGCAGTTCCCTAAAACCTCTTAATCTAAATTGTGTTCTAATTTTTTACATTTCAATTGCAGATATAGYGAGATGAAATGAAAACCCTTTAGTTTCCAGATGATTAGGCATTTTGGAGTGTTTGCAAACAAGACTCCTGTTTCCTGGGAGTTTTACTGGAAAAAAAAGGGGAAATGGCAAAGCTGTTAATTGATTCTTTATAGTCTGCTCATTAATAATTATGCACTGATAATGCAGAGTGTGTTGATATATAGTCTGTTTTGGAAAGCTGAGGCTAATTACTGCAGAGCCATGAGGACTTGAAAATGGAGTTTAATGGGAATTTAGATCTTGTTCTGAGATCACAGAACAGATTGGATCCATCTCCTTTTACGTTCATCATCTGATTTTTTTCTTTCCTTCCATTTAGGTCTGGCAAAACCCATGGGATTAGTTGAAGGTCCAGGAGGCTTGGGCCAAGGGGGAATGGCTGCTACCCTGAGAGATGATAGCCATGAATCCGAGACTAAATATGAAGAGTATGGTTACAACGCCCAACTCAGTGACAGGATATCGCTGGACAGGTCCATCCCTGACTACCGACCCAAAAAGTAAGTTGAATTCTACATTATAATTAGAGCAATTTGTTTTTCTTTGACCCATCGTGGCATTCTTCTCTCCACATTCCTTACTGGTTAGAGTGTGACAACAGTTAGTCATACGTATACCCCTGAGTTTCGTGAAAATTAAAAAGACCAACTGCAATCTCAAGCATGAAGAGCTGTGTCATACGCATAGCTAATTCCGTGAATAATGCATCGATATGGGCATTCAGAACCTTAGATCAAGAATTACTTTCGTATATTGGTGTTGATTGGGTTTGGTTCACTTGGAAAAGGCCAAGTTAGGTCAGCTGAGTCTCCCATTAGAGGTGGGAACTTCAGTCTGTTTATATTAAGGTTATGTGCAAAGGAATGTTTGGCAGTGACAAYAAACACTGTGTGGACACAGGTTAAGATTACGAAAAAGAAAGCCAAACCATCTGCCTTTTCTCTAATTGCCTTTGGTGCTCCTATGAGAGAATTGTGTGGTCTGTAACTATGCTGAAACATGGACTAAGTGTAATTCATTAGGATTCTGTAAGTGCAGTAAGATTTTTTTTTTTTTGGCTTTGGAATGCATATACATTTGTATTCTAGTGCCACAATCCTTGCATTGTTTGACGTAGCAATTATATGTTTAATATTTGTACTGATTTATTATATTGTATTAAGTGCCTTTCAAATTTTTCATATTTATGTCGTTATGTATCTTCTGGATGAGACATCCTCTCTGTCATCCTCCAAATGACAATCAGTAATGTCTTAATGCAGAGGAGATCAGCAGCAATGCCTAGTTATTCTCAGGAGACAGAATCGAAAAGAATACTTAATTAATTTCTAATAATAATCTTCTGTTTTAAAAACCTCACTGGGGCTCCTAGGCAGAACTGAAAGTTAAATAAAAAGTATCTTATTAAGTAGAGAGAAAAGTTTAGCCAAGCAAAACAGCTGTGCTCTGTGAGTAGATTACAACTGAATTAAGATTTTAGGCAGTTCAAGCTGCCAAAGGAAAATCCAGCAAAACACAACTTGAGCTTAATGACAAATTTCATTAGCTATGTTGCATACCACTCTCATCTCAGAAGTATTGACTCAATGTTTGTGTTCTTAGACACTTGCTATCACAAAGAAAGCCTTACTATGACAAATAAGTGACAATAAGTACTGCTTTAATGTCGCATTTGGATCAATGTGTTGTAAAGATCCATCATGGAATTATCCTGGGGAAAACATAGCTGGTAGTTGTCACGCAACTACTGGAGTTGCACGTCAGGTCTGTCCCAAAGTCCCTTAAATCAGTGAAAGTTGGTGAGATTTGTCCAGACCTGTTGAAACCTGAAAGCAAAGACTGCAAAGCTCCAGCCTAGGCCAGTAGTTCTCAGAGGCATGTGAGAATTAGAAATCTAGTGGCATTTCATTTCAAATGATGCTCTCCCAGCATTTAGCTTGGAAGCTTTGATGATTGATTCAGATAAGCTTTTTGACATGCTCATTTTGGGGATCTTGTAAGGCCGTGTTGCTTGATTMACTGCTTGAATTATTGGGAGAACTGCCTTCCTTGTGATATTTTGACACTTTTGAGATGGTTCTAGTTAGATCTAGGTGCTGGAAGTGAAACGYTTGTTTCTAGATACTTAGGAGTCGCTGAAAAACCCTTCAGATTGAATTTGCTATGAAAAATGACTTGAAGTTCAGAGAAGGTAGAAGCTTTTATATGAAGAGTTTTATCACCTTGTATCAACAGATTCATCTGTCATTTGGTTGCCACATTCTATTAGATATTTCTGCTGTCATTCTGTTGAACTGCATTTTTTTTTTGTCTCTAACACCTTCAAATGCAGAGATGCTCAAACGCCGTCTCTCTCGGAGCTCTCGTGTTAATGGTGATAGGCAGATTTTAGTGACTGCTAATGCCAACGGGCTGGAGCAGTTGGTCCCTTCAGCTCCCCATTTAGCACCATGCTAAGTGCTTAGCAGCTGGCCAGTGTGCATCGTGTCMTAAGGCAAAGCTGAGCTTGGCTTTCCATTTGATTCTTGCCAGATCTTGGTGAGAACCAGGAAAGCAGAGATTTAAGGGAGGCTTTGGGAAACAGCGTAATCAGTTCTTGTTTTTTCCAGCTCTGTACTCAGACTTACCCAGTGGCCACATCTTTCTGTCTCTCTTGATACACTGAGCCCTTCTTGACCTGCTAGGGATTTACCTTTACCACTGTAGAGAAGATTCTTCTCTCTTTTCAAAGGAGTAATAAGATGAAATTATTATCCCTCTTGATTCCTAAAGTTGTACATATTAATCCATGCTTTCTGCCCATTCTGGCTTCCATTTTAACTGTTCAAACCTCCATATTTACATACACCARTAGGTATTAAAGTGATAAAACAAGAAAATTTATGCTCATCCCCATTGCATAGACAGAATTTATTAAAGTAAATGTGATTTGGCTGTACAAATATGTGGCTTATTATATTCCAGGCATACTCTTACGTGGAACTTGCATATTATAAGTTACCTGAAAAGAAATTAGATCAGAAACATTAGCTTTTTGTGCATGTTATCTCTGAACTCCTCCCATATCTTTGTCCAGTATCATATTCCAGAGGAATAAGTCTTTTTTCCCATCTACTAGCATCCTTCAGTGAATGTTCAGCAATATAAATTGCTTTCTGGGAGTGTTTTCAGCCTGATGCAGTAAATTAAAAAAATATGTTGCACTAGAAAGATATAGAGGTAGGCAGTGTGACCAGGAAGGCTCCTAAACTGGAGGACTCGGTGTCCTTTCATTGCAGTAAAATCTGCAAGCCTGTGTAATCCTGCTGTCAGGGTGCTTTTCCCCTACCCTTGCCTTGTGCTCTGCCTTCCTACCGGCTGCCTTTGCAGATAATCCTTTCAACTCCAAAGCCTTTTTTTAAGATAGGAATCACTAAGTCAGTGCAGGCGAAAGGAACAGTTTTAATGCATGTTGTTTTTGTGTGCTGAACCGAAGCTATGACAGTAAATACCTTGCTGGCGATTACACTTCACAGAATAATTACGCAATTACAGTTTGATCTGAACACRGTGTAATAAATATGTCTCAGCTTTTTATTCTCTGGTATTGCACCTCCCACAGCTTGAATACTTGCCCTGTCTCTGCATAGAAAGTAGTCAACCCTGGGGAAACTGTTCAAAAACACACTGTGAATTGATGTTTCAAGCTATGCTCAGTTTCAAGAGACATGTAATATAAAGAAGTTGCAATTTTGTTGTACAAAACAATGCAAATCTTCCCCAGATGTTTGTTGCTTTATTCAGCGTGACCTTGAACGCTGCCTTCATTTCTTGTTGGATCTCACCTAAGCCCAATGTGCTGGTTTTAAAAGTTATGCTGCCGATCTTTCCTAGGAAATTATGTAAGTCTTCATGGTGAATATTTGCCTTGAAGCAGCTGAGTACTGTGCAGCTGAGTGCTCTGGAGAGACAGAAGGACCAAGTAGCAGGAATGAAATATTTCTGAGTCCAACATGTAGCAGAATACTCAGGATTAATTACAGTTGATGGATGAGTATTTACAAACATTCAGCTAGTGGTTCTAGTATTGCACCGATCTAGGATTTTGCTTAATGTGTTCAGTGGAAAGTGCTCTGCATCGTGTTAATTGATTTAAAACACATAAAATTCTAATATAGTTTTAATGTTTGGTTAGTAGTGACTACTGCTAACTATCTGAACTCCACTGTAAATTTTTTAGAAGCACTTAGGAAATCTACATTAATGCAGAAAGATTTGAACAGGATTATTTTTGTTACATGTGAATTAGCAATACTTGTGATGGAATTATCTTGATCTCCTGTCACACAAGCACATAGCAACCCTTAAAAACATTTGTCAAGTTAAGGGCAAACCGGAAGGAAAGGATAGACAGGGAAAGGAGTGCTGGTCTCCTGGCCACAGCCCTGTCTTTGCTTCTCTGCACACTGAAATCTTTCAAGGGCTGGGCTACACTGGGGCACTTGCTGGATAATGCCRTTTCCCAGCTCCACTTTTGCCCTCTTCCTCATCTCATGCATTCCTTACGGAAGTTTGTCTTGCATAACAATGTATAATATTTGCTGTACAAACAGTTGCTTTTGTTTCCATAATGGAAAATACATTGCAGACCGCTCCGGAGCAGAGTGAGACCTTTTGATTTCTCTTTCCAGGAGTAGCCAGAGCTTTATGGCTTCCTAGGCCTCTCAAACRTGCCCCATTCCATCTGTGCAATGAAGAGAAGCTTCTCCTGATGGGAACAGGTTATTTTTCCTCTGGAAGCACATGACTAGGCTAGGACTTACTCTGTGGCCCTCCAGGGAAAGTGTTATGTAATGGTCCGGAGTTGGGGTTCACCTGTAAATCTGGCATTTCTTAACTTTCTAATACTTGAGTTTGCAACCTAAGTAACTTCTAGGGATTCTTTGCATGCAGAACAAGTCTATACATACACACACACATTCATGCACTTGTCAAAACCACTTGCTATGATGCATTTTGCATACTTTTGAGTAAAGTTAATATGATCCTGCAGCTTCCATGAGAGCTTATGAGAAATTGTGGCTACTTGGTTATGATCTTTAATTTAACTGATTTTTGTGCAACTTGATGCGTAGTGTGTTGTGGCAATTTGATGGTAGCAGTAATACTAATACATGGATTCAGGCTGCTGGCTTTGTCACCTGAAGAAGATACTTCTTTGTGTTATGGTCACAGATTACTGGTATTGAGAAAATTCAGCCCTAAAGAACAAACTTATTAATGCTGAGGGAAGTCTTTAGCCAGAAAAAGCAGAGGAATCTAGGTCTTGAGGAAATTACTTTCATTTATTCAGTTCTTTACAGAGATGAGCGTTTTTGTTGCTTGCTATAGACCTTTCACAATAGCAAAGGAATTGCATCTCTGGGGCTCTGCAGTGTAATTAATGSTTCACTCCACACTATACCTAAGGAAAAGCTTTTTAATTACCTATCAGAAAGGATTCTGGAGTTGATCAAATAGT